TGCACACTGCAGGGGTCAGTTCCCCCAGGTTCTCCCATGCTGCACAGGCTGCCTCTTCCCTTCTACCCCACTGCAGTGGCAGCATGCAGACCTTCAGGCCCTCCCCCCACTGTAGGGCAGTGGGAAAGGCAACTGTCAAGGATTGCGGGTGGCACATTAACTGATTGCATGCTGCTTGTGGCCTCTGGGCCACCAGATGGATAGCCCTACATAAGCAATTCTAATATGATACTCGTAGGTAAGCAGAATGGGCTAAACTCACAGTGAAAGTCAATAGAATTTTTACCATACAAATGTACAGAACTTAGTTCTATGGAGTTATTTAACTGGAACTTAATTCAGCTTGGTGACCTTTGTTCAGTGCCTATTGACAGGTAAAAATACTCCTGATGGAATTATTACCACCATTCCTAGAATACAAGGAAAAAATATTTCAGTTCTTACTAGGCCTAAGACAGTTGATGCTGTGAGATTTCCTATCCTAGCACAAAGTTGTCCATAAATCAGTCCATGCTTTTAACATCCCTTTCGGTAGCTATATCAAATTCTGTTTTTCCCCTTTTCCTTCTTCCAACCTCTCCCCTCCCTTGTTTTTGTCTTTAACTGTCTATTAGTTTTAATACTTCTCTGAAGTCAATGGTTACACAGAGTAAAAGTATAATTCAATCTTTTTCTTCTGAAATGTGTGTTTGATCTTCTCTTTCCCAGGAAAGTTGGTGCAGTCCCTGGGCCAGGTCTGCTGCTGGACTTCAGTGAACCTCTGTTTACACCAGCTGAGGATGTAGGCTTTCATTTCAGATATGATATTTCACCTCAGGTTAGTGTATAAGCCAACCAAAACAACTTTACCTGCAAGATCTGCTGTGGATCTAGCATTCAGCTCCTAACAGTGCCAACATACCCATTCTGTTATCCAAATAAACAAATAAACTATGTAAACACAACGTATTTTTTTCTGCATAAACTAACAAGACATAGAGGGGTCTACTCTACCATTGGGCTATGCCATTCCACACCTTTGAGAAGCCCAGTTCTACCCTTTACATTTGTAACATCTGTGCCTGGTATAGCCAGTGAAGCACCGGTGATCTCACTCACTGAGGAAAAATTCTCCCCTGGCCATCATCATAAATTTAATGCTAAGTGGTATACATCACTATTGCTGTTACCATATATACTCAAATATAAGATGACCCCTCAATAATTAGATTCCATATATTGAAAATGTATAAAATGGATATAATTTATAATAATTTATAATTTGATATAACTTTAATGATTGGAGGTTTTATTAAAATTGTTAATTTCCCATTGCTACAGCATGGGAAATAAATCTGGGTTGGGTCAGGTAGCCCCTTTGCCCTCTGCCCCTCCAACTTCTTCCTTTTGCAGCTGCTTCCTCCTCCTTATTGTCAATCCCTCTCTTCCTAAGCACATGGAAGTGAAGAACAAATCTGAAAAAAAATGACCTTGAAAAAAACATAGCTGACCTTGAAATAAACATAGCTGTAGCAATTTGCATATAGTACCCACAGAGTTAGTTCATCCAGAATGCATCCAGATGCATTTTACCTTTTTGAAACTGCTGCCAGTTTTAGCACAGGTACTGCAGAAACACACTTTTGAGCAGCAGTTTAGCACCTACTTAGAAAGGGTACAAACTATGTATGAGTTGTGGGATCCTCCAAAAATTTATATATATTTTTGCCCCCAAAAAAGAAAAAAGAAACCTATCCTTGTGGTAGGTTCCCAGCAGCATGTTTTCCCCCTATGGGGCATGTACTTTATAGTCATGCTCAGTGCTGGCTGCATTTTAACACTATCATAGTTTGTTTCTATTGCTGAGCACATCGATATGCAATGTAATAATGCAGTTTCCTTGTATGTGAATGTTAAGGTGAGGGGCTTTTCCCCCTATGTTCATTGAGTGGGAAACCTCATCTTATATTCAAGTAAATATAGTATTCATTATCTGCACTGCAGTTGCATACAGGAGTCCCAGTCCAGGACCACCACACCAGCAGGTGCTGTATAAACAAAGAGCATGAGGATAGCTTTTGCTCCAGAAGCTGAAGTATCTTTTTGCCTATTGAAATGTGTAGTCTTCAGAGTACATGGTAAGTGAAAGTGATGGCAGATACACACTTCAACCCTAGTAGGGCATGACTAGGTAGCTTATGACAATGGCTCCTTATGCCTGCTTGCATGTGGAAGCAGATACTAAACCACTCCATTTAAAAGAAGTCAGCCACATGAAGCACTGCTAAGCACACTGCTCCCAAGTTCCCTTGAGCTATCACACCAGTATCTGCATGAGAGAGAGAGAGAGAGAATGATTCAGGAATCATCTTCTGACCTCTTATAGCTCCATTCTCCTTCCCCCCTGAGCACTTCTGGCAACAAAAGTTAGAAAGGAGTCCCTAAAATCTCTGAATTTTCTTTACCAACAAATAATTAAATGTACTGCACAATTAAGCCAATGGAATTAAAAGACAACCTAACATAGGTTTTCCCTGTTATTCATGTTGAGACACTGTCAGCAATGCTATCAGATGAAGATAAAGAACAAGATGAGCTTGGCAAGAAATCTTCTCTATTAGAGCCAGCTGTCACAATTATTTCTGATGCTTACTGCCATTCACATATTGTCAAGTTTGATCATCTTCCAGAAAACAGGAGGGTTGTAGGGGGGAGAAAAGCAGCTGTTCCACATCTCTTGACACAAAAACAGCATTGTTGTTACTTGAGTGTGAGAAGACAATGGAGGATATCCCATTTTTTTAAGTGCCATTGTTTTTATTGTCTATATTTAATGGCTGAAATATTTCCAAAGCTATTTATTGGCCAATGCTTTGGTTTCTTACATAGCTTTACTAGAGAGATTCTACCAAAGCACTTCTCCACATGCTCAAGGCAACCAAAAGACTCGTCACTTTTCTGTTCTAGCAGATGGGCACAGAAGCTAAGTATATTTCAGTGAAAAAGATCACCTCATCTGCCTATCTACCACCGAAACAAATAAGAGTATAGAAGTCCATTTTCTTATGTTTTGGCCAATCTATGCTTAAAAGATTCAAGCAACAGGCCTTTCTCCTCTTCTCTTGGGAGACTTCCCACAGCCTAATATATCTTACTGACTGGAAAGTTGTCAACATATGTTTCCCTTTTCTTAATGCTATATAAATGCCTTTAGCTGTGACCTGACAGATCACAAAAAATAAATAATTTCTGGGTTTGGTAATAGTAATAGCTGTCAACATGTCTCTCATTTGTTTTCTTTTATTTAAGTTACATAATTTAGACTTTTTCTTACAAATTTTCATCATAATCTCTTCATCCTCCATTCCTTACACACTAATTCCTCTTGTTATCTTCCTAACAGGTTCTTAATATGTATCTAATAAACTAGGACACGAATGAACAGATCGTATCATTCAAGATTCTGCTTGGAAATGGACAATTATTTTCATAATGTATCACGTGATGCCTTTACATGTGTGGCCCAAAACTCCATCAGTCCATTTACAGTCTTATCAAATCGTTAATTTCTTCTCAGACATTTGTGTTAACTTTCTACTTTAAATTCAGTGTTATTTTGCATGCTTGCCTTTTTCTTTTCTTTTCTTTTATTTCTTTTTTTTTTTTTTGGCTTGAGGCACTCATAATTTTTGCTTGTCAAATCTCAGTATGGAAGACAAATATCATAGGATGTTACTTATTTTATTTAGATGCCTTTAGCTTTATCTGTTTTCTGTTGTTTATAATTGAACTTTACAGCAATTTAGTTATGGGTAGCCATAAGAAAATTTGATATGAGGTCAGGAAGAGGTCTCAGAGCAACAGACAGTACCAAATAAGAAAGTGAAGACAATGCTGCCACATAGTCAAGTGGACAGATCTTGGAAACCAACACAGAGTGCCTAGTCTACAAAGTAAATATCTCTCCACAACTTGATTTTAAACAAAGTTGTAAAACTTGAATTTGTAACACTTTAAGGAAATGGTTGATTTGATGTCTTGAAGCAGAACTTACATGGCTTGGGCACTGGTGGTGAAATAGATCCTAGAAATAACTTAGTCTTTCATATAGGGTGCAAGGTACTAACCATATTATTGCACTTCCAATTTCTTGTATCTGTTCTGACTGACCTTTGAAACTGAACTTGCCTTTCTGTCAAAAGAAGCTAATTCCTATGCCATTCCATTGCATGGTGATGTAGTATTAGATTAAATTCACAACAGTGAAGTGAAAGAGAAGATTGATAGAAAAGGGTAGTTATGATAAAATAGTGTGGGAAGGGGAAGAATTATTTACTGTCTACAACAATGTTCTGAGAAACACTGGACAGAGGGATTCAAAATATAAGCCATCAGTCAGTGAAAGTAAAAGGACCATTTCTAAAGCTCACAGTCTTTGAATGCAATGATTATTTTTGCTTAGTGAATCCTATTAGCTTTACATAAAGACAACTACTTCGTGTCGTTCATCTGCATTTCATATACTGCTCTGAAATGTCACTTAAAAATAAAGGAAATATCATCAATCATGTAGATCAAAATCAAAAGAAAGCCTTCCTTTTCTGAAAGCTGCAAATTGCTATGAGATGTGACTTGTTTCTAAACAGGTCTCTGTGACTTTTGCAGCACTAAAGTGGAAATTACAGGGTCTACTTGAGATATAATTTGCATTGCTATTGGAAATAAGGCTTTAGTTGTCAATTGCTATAAGATTAGTTTCCTCCTTTTTCAGTAGTTACTACTTGCTATGTGGAGAAACCAACCTCGTTATTACATTCACAACAGTGGGAGAATTTTGTTGGAGGAGCTACTAAGCTGTTTTTGATTTAGGATGTAGGTTGCTACATCCTACATCCAGGTTAACCAGTTAACCTGGTTAACTCTTATTTTTCCTATTTAGACACTTGTTGCTAGTGAACTGAACAAATGCAGAAGGCATATCCCATTTAAAAGAATAAGAAAAAGAAACCGCTGAAACTTACCAAACTATTCCCTGAGCCCCAGAGCCAATAGGTTTTAAGTTCTGGTAGCGTTTGAGAACTGTGAAGGTCGAGTCACCTACTTCCACGCTGTAGAACTGGTTGTCAACTTTGCTTTTGCTCATGTTGTAATGTTTGGCAATATATGACACATCCACTTGTTTCCCAAATCCCTGTCATGGAGAAGAGGAGTGAAAATAATAATAATAAAAATACCATATACTAAACCAAGGCCAATAAGCCATCAGCATAATAATGAAACACAGTGAGCCTTGTTTTTCAAATATGAATCACTGTCATTTTATGCTCACTGTCAGACATGCATGTTGTCAGATGAATTCTCAAAGGTTTTCAAAGACTGCATTGATTGCTCCCCCCTCCAGCTCCCCTCCCCCCCGCCCCCTTTCACCTAAAGGAATTGCCATTAAAAAATCATGACATTTTCTCCAGCCAGTGTTTGTAGAATAGGAATTCCCACTGACTGATATTAGCGTATTACTGTGGTACTGTGTGACTGCAGACAGAATCTGTATGGTGCAGCTAAAAATCTTATTTCAGTTACGCTGCAATAAATTAGGAATAAGTCCTTTGACACAAATAGATGCAGGAAGTTGTCTCTTAGGTAGGTAAACAATAAACGTTGCCTAAAATTTGAGAACTACTGTTATAAAATGTATCTGAATCCATTTCAGATTACTGGAAAGAAAGAAAAAGGAACCATCAAGGCATTTGGATTGTGGGACAGATCCTGAAAGGCAATGAGCAGTTCTTGTCTCCAACTAACTTAAGTGAAAAATATTATCTGACAAGAAGGAGAACTTTGCATCAGTTCCTGAATTTTAAAACAGGGTCATATCCAAATCTCAGTTTTAACAGTCCTTTTCAAACAAAAGTCCCACTAAATGGAGCTGCTCCTGCATTAACAAGCAACTTGTAGGGGGTAGAGTGCAAAATCATTTGAAAAGAAACACAAAATATAATTTTGACATAAATATGCCAATGTGTGTACATACATTCAAGACCAGCAGCAAATACCAGTTAGTTTCTGACCCCTAGGCTCTGTCCAGATGAGCACAGTGGTGCGGTATGTGGCACCACAGACATGTCTACAATGGCACATACCGCCCCATTCAGGTGTTCTCCACACTTCAAGGAAGCAATACGGGATGGGGGGGAGTTGACCCCTGGATATCCAGGGATCAAAAGAACCCATGCCAAAAAAAAAAAAAAAAAAAAGTGAAGCGGCACATGCCAGGGCAGTATGTGCTGCTCAAAACTGAAGCCTGGATGGCTAGAGCCACGCTTCTGGCTGCCAGCCAGGCTCCAAGTGGCAGGATCACTGCTACTGCAGACCCAGGAGGGTCCCTAGGACCCCAGGTAAGGCTACTGGGGCCAGCCCAGTGCTAATCCCAGCCTCCTCTACCCTACCCAGGGTAACCTTCCGTGTGCCAGAGGGCACGTGGCACATGCATTCCCTGGGGACAACTAGCAGTAGCACAAGGTGCACTTGTGTGGATGCAGCCCTAGAGTCCAGTGAGAGAATAGGAGGGTAAACTGATCTAGACTTAAGGTGATACCAACAACCATATAGTGAAGTCTGTCACCATCCTTAGCAAATGGCATTTTCTTGATCCTTTAGTGCTTTGAACATAATTATTTATTTTTCATTGATCATGCCAGCATACATGTATTTCACAAGGATTTTAAAGACCTGGATTTAGATGTGGAATTTGTCTGTCTTTGACTAACTGAATAAAAAAGACCAACTGAGTCTGGAGACATATCTCCTATTCTGTGAACACTGTAATTTAGAATCAGAAAGTCAGGGCTGGAAGGGACCTTAGGTAGTCATTCAGTCAGTCTCCAGACAGGAACATCCCTGTGCAAACCATCCCAGGTGTATACTTATTTAACTGGCACTTAAAAACTTCTAGTGATGGAGATTCCACAACCTCTTCAAGTAATCTATTTCAGTTGCTATCCACCCTCAGAGTTAGAAAGTTCTTCCTACTACCCAACCTTAATTTCTATTGTTGCAGTGTTAGCCCATTACCTCTTGTCCTGTCCCCAGTGGTCATAGAAAACAACTGACTGCTGTTTCCTTATAATACCTATTTTGTATTTTAGGAGTTATCAGATCTGTCTTCAGTCTTCTATTCTCTTTACTAAATAATCCCAATCTACCATTTCCTTGTATGTGATGTTTTCTATACACCTAATGGTTTTTATTGCCTTCCTTTAGATTAATTCAAATTTGTCTACATCTTTCATGAAGTTCATTCCCCTAGATGAACACAGTATTCCAGGTGAGGTCTCAGCAATGCTGAATAGAGAGAAAAAAAATCACTCTCTGTGACTTGTATATGACACTCCTGTTAATACAACCAGAATACTTGTGTCTATTTTTTGCAATAATATTACACTTTTACTCATATTTAGCTTGTGGTCCAGCATAACCCTAGATCCTCCTCTGTAGTATTGTAACCTAGCCAGTCATTCATGATTTTGTATTTGTGCCTGTGATTATTTTTTCCTAACGTCAGAACTCTGCAGTTTATGCTTAGTGAACTTCATCTCTATTTTAGACCATTTTTCCAATTTATCATGATCATTTTGAATCCTAATCCTGTCTTCTATGGTATCTGTAACCCCATCCAGCGTGGTGTCATCCACAAATTCCATACATACATATCTAATATTAACATCCAAGACATTCATGAAGATATTGAACAGATAGACCTAATCCAAGCCTCTGGAACCCCACTTGATATCTCTTTCTAATCTGACACTGAAACATTGATGACTACTTTTTAAAGGTGAAAACAAGCATTCATGCAACTGGCTCAGGTTTAGGCAACTTAGTTTGAGCTGCCTAAACCTGAGTTGGGAACCTGTGCATGTAAGCACTGCTACTTGCCAGGAGGAGGCATAGGCAGCCAAAGGTAAGTAAATCAGGGAATGGGGGTTAGGATGATTTAAATGTAATGCTTGCACATAGCCTTAAGACAAGGGTTATCAACCAGACATATGTGTACCTCTAGGGGTACTTAGTAAGGTCATAGGGTACAGAGCACACCCTGGGGCACCGCAGCAGTCTACCCATCATGTTCCCATGCTTTGCCTCTTACACAGGGAAAAGGTATGCCGGGTGCCACAGGCCCCACACAGCACATCATGGCACTTCCCAACCCCCCACCTCAGCTCACTCTCCTGATTGGCCACAAGACCCCACTCTCAGCCAATAGCTGACAGTGAGGAGGTGTTGTGGCCACCCCCTTCTTGCAGAGCAGAGAGGGTCTCAATGGCAGGGGATAAGTGTTTCTGTGCCCACTCCCAGGAGCAGGGCCGGGGGGCGGAAAGGGCAGCAGCACCCCTCTGGAGGCTGCACAGGCACCACCCAGCCCAACAGGGGGAGGAGGGGGCACACGCGGCAGCTGTCACCACCACCACCACTGTCCTGTGCTACTTTCCCACAGCTGGTTGCACGTGCAGATCTGTGGGCTGCTGATAGGTGGTGTGCAATTGGCCAGGTGTGATGCCCATCAGAAGCCCATGGAGCCACACGTGAGACCAGCTATGGGAAAGTGGAACACAGCGCCAACACGGGGTGGGGGGTAGTGGTGGCAGCACGGGGCAGTGGGTGGCAATGGCACTGGCACAGGGTGGTGGCAATGTGGGGTGGTGTGTGAACCCCCCCAGCAAAAGTCTGGCTGGCCAGGCAGCACCTGTGAAACCCACTGCCTTTGCCCCCCCCAGCCCTCCTCCTGGGAGTGGGCACAGAAACACACTCCCGCCCACCCCACCATTGACACTCTCTGTGCCTTGCTGCTGCTGCTTGCTTTGAGCACAGCACAATGGACATGTGCATCCCATCGCTGGGAAGGCAGCAGCCTGGCATCAAGCCACCCAGCAGCAGGATGCACATGGCGTTGTGGAGCTCTTGAAGCAGTGGCAGCAAGGCACAGAGGCAGAGCAGAGCCAAGCCCATCCTCACCCCACACACCTATCAGGGGGGCACATGCCCCCTCTTGGCTTCACCGTGGTACACACAGAGGTGGGAGCCCCCTTCCCCCCATCCCCTATGCCTCTGGATGTGCTGCCAGGTTCCCATTACCCCATGGCCCGGCCTGAGCTCCATTCACCCCTGCCCCTACCCCACTCCCTCCTGCACCCCCCAACCCTTTTACTTTCCCCCATCTTGCCCCTTCCCCACACACACTTACCTGCTGTGGGGGGGGGGGGGGGGTGCATGTCTGTGTCTGTGGGGCTGTTGCGAGGGGGGGCCGTGTGTGTGTCTATGTCTCTGTCTGCATGTATGTGTGTCTGTCCCCTGCCCGCCCAGAGGCAGCAGGCACATGGCGTTGTGCGGCTCTTGGGGTGAAAAGTCCAGCCTGCATCAGCAGCTGCCTCTGCCTCATGCACAGATTTGGGGGGCACATGCCCCCTGGGCCTCTGCCAGGGTACATGGAGCAGCAGGAGCTGCCCCCCACCCCCAACAGACAAGCTGCTCTCATGTCTCCATCCTGCACTCCACCCCGGCTGTGCAGCACCTGCCCCTGCCTCAGGCCCAGCCCCACTGCCTCCTTCACTGTGGGGGATCCCAACCTGCCCCCCACCCCTTAAAAACAAGGAAAAAATATAAAGGGGTACATGACCTGAAACTTTGAGGCAGAAGGGGTACACTTCTTTAAAAAGGTTGAGAACCCCTTCCCCAAGACCTCTAGTTATGCACCCATTTTAAAATAGTTTCATTTGATAGTATTTCCTTAGTTTATGTATAAGAATCTTGTGGAAGACAGAATGAAAAACCTTACTAAAGTTATTATATCACATCCACTCCTTACCCACAAGACCTATTACCTTGTCATAAAAGAAAATTAGTTTGATTAGATAGGATTTATTCTTGACAAATCTATGGTGACTAGTATTTATCACCTTTTTATCCTCAAGGTACTTACAAATTGATTGTTTGATTATATGTTCCACCATCTTTCTAGGTATTGAAATTATATTGACAGGTCCATAATGCCCAGAATCCTGTTTTTCTCTCTTTTTTTTAAAAGCAAGTACTATATTTGTGTGGTGAGCATGTTTGTTATTACCCTGAAATAAAATAATTAGGTTAACAATAATTTGGATTATTAAGAAGTATTAGCTTTACAGCTGAATACAA